ATGGGGGCCCCTGGGGGCCCCCCTGTATGCAGCAGCGAATGCAGCATTTGAGAGATGTTTATTACATTTATATAGAATGCCAGAGATATGGAGAATGTATATAAAGCTGCTGCAGCAGCAGCAGCAGCTCACGCGCTGCCGCAGAACCTTTGATGCTGCTCTTAGGGCTTTAGCTGTTACCCAGCATGAACTTCTATGGCCTGATATGATGGATTATGTTAAAGTAAGATTAGGGTTTAGGGTTTAGGGTTTAGGGTTTAGGGTTTAGGGTTTATTGTGGGGATATATTTTGTGTGTATAATAAACAATATATTATAATGAATTGCTTCTATATTGATCTAAAAAAAAAAAAAAAAAAAAAAAAAAAAAAAAAAAAAAAAAAAAAAAAAAAAAAAAAAAAAAAAAAAATTTTAGGGTTTAGGGTTTAGGGTTTAGGGTTTGTGTTGTGTATGTGTGTGCAGAAATGTGGTGTATCAGCGACAGCGAAATGTTTGTATCGTCGTTGGCTGATGATAGAGCCTGAGCGTATAGATGAATATGCATTATATTTAAAGGAGATAGGAGAGTATGATGCAGCAGCTAGCCAGCTAGCTGCAGCAGCTAGCGATAGCTCTCTATCTCTATCTACAGGTAAAACACAACACCAGCTTTGGCTTGAGCTTTGTTTTCTTGTTGCTGCATATCCTGAGAATATACACTCGGTAAGAATAGAAGATATATTAAGAGGAGGTATACATAGATTCACTGATGCTGTTGCTTCTTTATGGTGTTCTTTGGCTTCGCACTTTATAAAAAAAGGTATATTATCTAAAGCAAGAGATATATATGAGGAAGCTCTTTCTGCTGTATCGACAGTAAGAGATCTAGCAATAGTATACGAGGCTTATGCTGCGTTTGAGGAGTCTATAGTGGCCCAGCTGCTGCNGTAAGAGATCTAGCAATAGTATACGAGGCTTATGCTGCGTTTGAGGAGTCTATAGTGGCCCAGCTGCTGCAGCAGCAGCAGCAGCAGCAGCAGCAGCAGCGGGAGCAGCGGGATGCAGCAGCAGCAGCAGCAGCAGAAAAAGAAATAGATTTCGCTATTGCTAGACTAGAAAGATTAACAGAAAGAAGACCCCTTCTTGTCTCCTCATGTAAACTCAAACAAAACCCCCACAACGTACATGAATGGCTCGCCAGGGCAGAGCTGCTGCAGCATGATACTAAAAAAGTAAACTACTCCTGCTGCTGCTGCTGCTGCTGCTGCTGCTGCTGGGGGTGCTGCTGCTGCTGGGGGTGGTGGGGGTGCTGCTGGGGGTTGTGGGGGTGCTG